CATCTCTCCAATCCCCTGACACAGGGTTTCTCTGTGTAGCTTTGGAGCCTGTCCTGGAACTCACTCTGTAGACCGGGCTATCCTCGAACTCACAGAAACCCACCTGCCTCAGTCTCCCAAGTGCTTGTATTAAAGGCGTGCGCCGCCACTGCCCGGCTTTTAGACAGTTTTTTATTATGTTGTCTGAAAAGTTCAACAGTTTCTCCTTGAGCCCCATCCCACCCCGTGATTTATTTGGGGTGTTGTCCTAGAAAGAAATAGAAGATGGGGTGGGGATTGGAGTGGGTCAGTGTCAGGGAATGGGGAGCTTCAGTACCTGAGGCTACTGTAGTGAACAAAGACGCTAATTATCACTGTAGGAAACTTGGGGCCAGTCTCTTTAAAGAACCTTGTAGAGCAGGTCCCCTTGGGAATGTCTTAAGAAACCCAAGGCCCCACAGAACCAAGAAACCACAAATAAAAACATAAATCCCTTGAGGCACAGCAAAGAGGAACCTGCTTGAGGGGGTGGTAAACCAGTGACTGGCACCAAATGGGCCTCTGCAGCTGCCCCACAGGGAGGGGGGACACAGGGCGGGGCTGTGCCTGGGCCAGTGTCTCTCTGGGCCAGTGTCCACCAGTTGCTTAATTATTTCCACCGATTGCATCAGCTTTCCAGCTTCCTGTCTCCTGGCATCCCCTTGGCCTCTCCCCACCGTCATCTACCTAATAGATGGAGGGAGGCGCTGTGTTCTTTGGCCCTTCGTTTCTCCAGTGGCACTGAGCTCTTTCTCTCTCTCTTCCTGGCTTATCTGGCACAGTTAGCAGGAGTCGGAGTGGAGGTTTGGTCCCACCCTCTCCCCAGCAGCAGCTTATGGCATTGTCTTCATCCTTTGGGGACCTCAGGCAGAACTAGATCCCTGGTCACGTGGTGGGGAAGGATTTCAGGATGAGCCGGTGTGAAGAGAGTGAGTTAGTTTCTTTCTGGGAAAGAGACAACAGCATGGATACGGATGAGCATCTTGAAGAGTCTTGCTTCATTGCCGTTACAGAGGTGGCATCCGTTCCTTCTTGGGGGGCCTAGCTATTACCTTCAAAGGCTTTTGGAGGAACCTAAATGAGATCACAGGGTGTCACAGACATGGAGGAAATGAGGGCAGTCTTTTCTGAGAGTCCAGAAACTATCCCCAACGGGTGTGAGGCCCTACCAAGAGAGGGCATATGCTCAGGCCTTACTTGACTGCTGCTTTAACATTCTCAGTTGGGAATACTCTGCAGAAAGAAGCAGTTTCTGGGTTGCCGCCCTTCGGGGCACATGTGCTGGACGTCAGCTCCCTGCTGGACTCCTGAGCACCAGCTCTTTCACCTTCTTATGTCTTTTCTTGTTTTTTTACCCTGCCTCCGAAGTGTCTGCTGTGGTTCTCATTTTTATCTTATAGTTCCTCTAAGGTTTTTAGTTTTAAGAGTCTTTGGTCTTATATACCTAGAAGCACCCCATTTCCTTAGGTTTAAATGACAGTTGATTGGATATAAAATTGTAGGCTTAAAGGTAACAGTTTTATAATATATTCTTAAGTGATTAAATAGTGTTTTATTTGTAGTTTTAGTGCGTATTACAATTCAAGTAAATATGAATTATTCAGTCATAGTAGCAATGTGGTCTGTCACTATTTCTCCATAAGTCCCAAGGCCTTGGCATGCTCTGATACCGTGTAGTTATTTGGTTTTCACCATTTGTAGTAGTAACACACAGCTGCCATTTTTCATTCTGTGTTCTTCACTATCCACTCCAGTGGTAGACGATTACTGGTTTAGTCTTAGGATGTCCTGCTCGAGGGTTTTGAGACTTAGAAGGAAACTCACAGAAGGGGGACCTGGAAGGAATATAAATAAAACATGCGATTCCAGAAAATTCTCTCGAGCCCGAGGTACGTGCTCTACACTTTTGTAAGCAAGGACACAGTAAAACCACTGAACTGGACCATTCTGTGGGTAGAAGGAAAAGCTTGTTGGAGAAACAAACTACTGATCTGCCTCGGAGACTAGAAGACAGCACCTGGCCGGAAAGCACGCAGATCTTACATAGTCGGCAGGGGGGTTGCAGCAGTTACAGGCGGTAACCGGGAAGTAGATGCCCAAGGTGGTTGACTGTTGCGTTGGATAAGGAGGTTCCTGGGAAACAGAAGGATCCTGAGGAATGCTGAATTTAAGGCCAATAGCAATCTTTTCGTTTACCCTGTCAGAGTCTTTCTTAGGACCTTGTCACCAGCGCTGCTGGGGAGGGGGAGGGGCACTTGGGACCTAACATCTTTTTTTTTTAATTTAATTTTATTTTATTTTACAATACCATTCAGTTCAACATAACAGCTACAGATTCCCTTGTTTCCCCCTTCCTGCCCCCC